ACCACATCAACCGCTTTACCCTCATCCACCTGTTTGGTCACCTTCTCAAAGAACTCAATAAGGTTTGTGAGGCACGACATACCCTTCACAAAACCGTGTTGACTATCCCTAATCAAATTATTCCTTTCTAGATGATTATAAATTCTATCTGTTATAATCCTTTCCAACACTTTACCCACAACCGAAGTAAGGCTCACTGGTCTATAATTACCAGGGTTGTCTCTACTCCCCTTCTTGAACAAGGGGACAACATTTGCTAGTCTCCAGTCTTCTGGCACTAGTCAATGTTTCAGGTATTACCCTTCCTCAGGACTGTATAGGCTGGGGATATTTTCACTGGAGTGTCGAAGGCTGAAGGGTGACCGTATAGAGGTTTATAAAATCATGAGGGGCGAGGATAGAATGAACAGTCAAGGTCTTTTCCCAAGGGTAAGGGAGTCCAAAACCAAAGGGCATAGGTTTAAGGTGAGAGGGTAAAGATTTAAAAACGATCTGAGGGGCAACTATTTCATGCAGAGGGTGGTGCGTGTATGAAACAAGCTGCCACAGGAAGTGGTGGAGGTGGGTTCAACTACACCATTTAAAAGGCATCTGGATGGGTACAGGAATAGGAAGGGTTTAGAGGGGTATGGGCCAAATGTTCCAAATGGGACTAGGCCAGATTGGGACAAGTTAGACCAAAAGGTGTGTTTCCATGCTGCATGACGCTATGACAATCTGGCTGCTGCAGAGACAATAGACACACTAGTGGTCATCTTCGAGAATAATCAGATTCTACAACAAATCTCACCGATTACAAGATAGCACACCTAACCAAAAGAAGGCAGGAGAGAGAATTTAGGGAACTATAGGCTAGTTAGCCTACCATCATAGTAGGCTAAAGGTTAAAATCTATTACTAGAGATTTGGTAGGAAGGCAATTAGAAAATCATGATATTGATTAAGTAGAATCGACAAAGATTTATGAAAGAAAATTGTGTTTGGCAAATCTGTTCGGAGTTTTTGCGACCATAACTATATCAGGATCAATAAGGGAGAAACCAGTGGATGTAGCGTACTATGATTTTCAAACAGCATTTGGAAATTGTACAGCATGAGAAGAGATTCCAAAAAATGCAAACTAACTCATGTGGTGAAGGAGTAATATATTAGCGTAATGAGGTCCTGTGGGACACTGGGGAACATCCCTGCCCCAAGCCAGGGCTTAAATCCCATTCCAGGATTTTCTGATGGCAGAGGAAGGTGTGTTCTGATACAGTCAAACAGGTCAAGGATCAACTTGTCAAACTATCTCCTATTCAGAACAGGGGAGGTCCTGGCTAGTGATATGGTGGCAAGGCAAGGACAGCCTTTACCTTTGCTATTCATAATTCTGGGCAACACCACGCCTGTAAACGTCTATGCTGCCATAGCAATGCGGACTCTTTGTGGACCCGGTTGCTTAGCTGATCAGACGGCTGGCGTAGATCAGGTTGTTTTTGGCAGCATGTGGTTTGATCCCCATTCTGGCTGGGATGGATTCAGGATCTGCCTCTTCGCTTCGGATCAAGGACATGGCGCTGGCGGCTGGGCCTGCTTTTGAGCACAGAACGTAAGAAGAAGTTATTAGCATAGATGGAGAATTGTTGATTGAACAGAAAACTAAAGAGTAATAAACAGAACACTTTCAAGTTGAGAGGGTATGTCTGCCAGGCTATTGCAAGGGTCAGTATTTGGGCCTTACCTATTTTTAATGTTAATAGATTAAATGGGGGAGTGGGGGTGGTCGAGTGTAATGAAATTCTCTGATGGAGAAAGCTGTTGAAACCAAAATATTGAAGGTTTACAAGAATGAGTTAGATATAAAGGGCTGAAGGAAAAACAGGAACAGGGGACTGTGTTCGATGATCAGCCATGATCATATCGAATGGCAGAGCAGGTTTGAAGGGCTGAATGGCCTACTGGTACTCACATTTTCTACATTTCCATCCAATTGTGCCGACAGGAGGAGGGTGAAGCTAAGTGCTGAGGAAGACAGAGGCAACACAAAGACATGGGTGATCTTAGGATGGGCAAGAACATGGAAGATAAAAATGTGTCAAAGTGTGAACTTAGCATTTTGGTGGGAAAAATAAAGGAGGAGATATTTTTGGGATGAGAGACTAATATATGTTTGCATTGAGAGCAACCTGGGTGTCCTTGCACTCGAGAAGGAAGAAAGCCAAAAGGGGTGAAATGATTCGCTCCTGTTCCTATGTTCAGCAAACGTTAAAATGAAGGTGCGACAAGCCAGGAGAAAATAAGTTAGACAAATGTTAGCTTGGGATATGATTGAACTGGAGCATAGTTGTAGTGGAGACTTATGAACCCCCTGCTCATATTTCCCACGTTGTTGTGCTTGCTAGCTCCAGCTTATTGATTGCATGATGAGCAGATTCACAAGTGATCCATTTGTCTCATCGCTCAGCCTGCCTCCTCTGTCAGCTACAATCCATTAGCCACCTCAGAAATACAAAACTATCCGCAACATTGGAAAGGGTTATGGAAGAGTTTACCAGAGTGGCACCTGGGGCAAGGGGTGTCAGTTTTGTGGAGAGACTTCAGAAAACAGAGTTGGTGCCCACAGTGGGGAGGTTAAAGGGTGATTTAATATAGATGTTCAAAAAGGTGAGGGATCCTTAGAGGATAAATAACCCAATGAACGATTCATTCTCTGTGACCACTGCAAGGGGTCCTTCCTGCCTGTGCCTTCTATCTTAACAGTTGTTATGAATGGCTGTTCACACTATCCCCTTTGCTACGAGGATGGATATTGGGAGGTAAGGAGCATCACTGGGGATGGGCACACACACACACACACACACACACACACACACACACACACACACACAGGGTGGGGAGATGATAAGTTACTGAGGCGTGCTGTCTCAAGGGTGGTGAAAGCATATTCAACGGTCACTTTCAAAGTGAATCAGATAAATACTTCAAAAGGGAAAATAAATTACACAGCAGTGTGGAAGAGTGGGACAAATTGGATAGTTCCATAAAACTGGACTGAATGGCCGCCTTCCAACCTGTAAGATTCTACCACATAGTGGGGACTTGATTGTGTGCTGGAAAGGTTGGAGATTATGACTGAGCTAAGATATTGACGACTCAGTCTCTCCTGACTCTTTGCTGGCATACAGTTTCAGAGGTGCCATCTGACGTTTTTTAGACTATGTCCAAAATTTCCAGTTGGCTGGGTGCGGATTGGTGGGCTGTTTGACGGTGGGGGCGCATCAACAGCCGAGCGTGTTTTCGTCCTCATCTGACATCTACGCATTTTGGTTGTTGACTTGTCAGGACTTTAACTTATATCGATGGTTCCCTAAGCAACAAGTCGAAGGGAGCATCCTTAGAAGGATCCCCGAATAGGATCAGCCATCTTGGAATTGGCTGGGGGCAGTTTGAAACTGGTCGTCTTCAGCTTTGCATGGCTCTGGCTCAGTACCTCAAAAATTCTCAAAAGCACGAGAATTCCTGGAAACCTAGTTTTCAACCACTGGTACCATAAACAAACATGTTGAAACAGACCCCATCTATATGCCACAGCAGAGCAAAACCGGAAAACAGAACTACCCCCCATGACAGACTAGACCATATAAATTCAAAATGTATCAGAACAACAGCACTTCAAGGGAGGCTAGACAGCACTAAAGATGTCATCTAGAAAGGGGACAAAATGTTTGCACAAAAACCAGCCAGCTCGGGGAACCAACCAGCAACTTCAGTACCTCACTGGATGTGGCCTTACACCAGAACTCAAGTTAAAACGTCACATTTTACCAAAGTGACAAGATGGGTCAATGACATACCTGTGGGCAGACTTCACTGTACCACTGTCAGTTTGCTGAGTCAGTCTAGTCAGAAACAATCCGTCCTGTAACAGCCCAGATCCCACTGATCCCTTCTGTACTGATGCTGTTTGTGTTACTCCAGTCTGTGCCGATCTGTTCTGCATGAATCCAGTTTGGATGGATCCAGGTGCTAACACAGCATGTGCCAATCCAGCATGAACCAATCCATTTGCTGCCCATTGAGTCTGACTCGCTCCGGTCTGAGTTGATCGAGTCTGAGTTGATCCCGTCAGCAACGATCCAGATTTAATCAATCGATCCTGTACGCATCCTGTCAGAACGAAGCCACTGGAACGCAATTCAGCAAAAGACATAGAAAGGTCAGTTATTCAAATGGTGATGTACAGTAACACAAAAACACACAGAACATCACGTATTGCGGTGTGCGGTCAGTGCAATAAATATAATAAGGATCCTGGTTAAGTCGTCACTGTTGCTCAAAGCTAACATGGTTCTAAGCCTTTTGGTTGTGGATTCAAGCCCCACTCTAGTGACCTCAGCCTTAAGCTTACTATGAAGGACTCTCGTTTTCAATCTCTCCCCTTACCCAAGACATGGTGAATCTCAGGTTAAACCACCACCAGTCACCTCTTTCTCTCTCTCTAATGAGAGAGCAGGCCTATGGCCTAGTAAGACAATGGTGATTTTACCTTTAGGAACTAATGGAATGTGTTTTAATAAAAGTAGCTCAGCCTTGCAGCAAGAAACTGGATGACATTTTGACCAAATACGGTTAAGATTCAGCCCTAAATTTGTTTCTCTAAGATTATTATTCACCTGCAGCGAAATGTGCTTAATGGGCAGCTGAACATGCTGCACTTTCTCCTTTGAGGTGGGAATGGGTTTCCTGATTTCGCAACCCACCTCATGACTGGCACTGCCTACCGTGACAATACTATGGCTTTTAAAGTTCTCTTTTGTTCTGGGTTTTTTTTTAAATAAGGACAGGTTGAGACAGAGGTACTGAGCAGTCTTCTCCAAAGCTAATAAAGTAAACAGCTTGTGAGGCCTTGGATATTCTGTTAAAGTTGGAACAATAGAAGCAGCCTGAATGGGTGAGGTCAAGCTCTCTCAGAACCAGGATTTTTAGTTTTAGTTTTTCAGTAGCAGTTGCTGGGATCTTGAAGCTGGATGTGGAGGCTATTATTCCTCTCTCAATTACAGCTAAAAGCTGGGGTCGTCTTCCTGTTGCTAGAATTGCATGTGAGACAATTTATTTTACTGAATTTGCCTTTGCCAAGGGTGTGTTTATGGGATGTTTCTGTATAGGAACAGTTAATTAGTAGTAGTTAACATATATATTAATTTGTTAAGCATCTTGAAAGAGATACAGTTTAGCCAATTCTTTTCATTTTATTTTGTCTGTTTTTACTTACTGTGTATGAATAAATTATGTTTTGTTTCAAGCCTGGTACTTCAACCAAATCGAATTGCATCTGGAACACAACCCCTCATACTTACTTTTAAAATAAGAAAACATTAGGGTCTAGCCTATCTTCTTAATATATTTTGAGGGGGTTTGGTTTGGTCCATAACAAATTGGGGGTTCTTGTCAGGGTCAAAATCTCTATTTCCAGGTTGGGTTTAGGATTGTTGGACCAGAAGGCAGTGAGTGGTGAGTGTTGGTGTTCCCTTTTTGGGTGTGGAATTTGGTTGGTTTAACTAGGTCGTGCCCTATGTAGTAATGGCTGTTTCAGTCACCAACAGTTTCCTAGGGGTGGAATAAATCACTTGGGGAGTTGTACAGAAGTGAGTAAGGCAAAGCTTTTGGAATCGGCAGACAAGCTGGAGTTGGGGTTGCCTTTGTCCATGCAAAAAGGAGCAGGAATCAGGGCAGCTCTTCAGAAGAAGAGCTAAGACTGGCATTTTAAAAGGCCCCTCTATCTGTTGGGTCACTGGCCCAATTTAGTAGATGAGTGCAAGAAGCTCTGAGCCTCAGCTCACTGACCTCCCCAGCTCCTGCCCCATAGCTCCATATCCTCCCTATATCTTCCGTACCCCTCCATATCCATTCATGTCCCTCCTGCCTCCCTTTAACCCTGGTCACCCTGACCTTCTATGTCCCCGCCACTGTGCAAAACTGCTCTTCAACTCGTGTACTCTCAGAGCTCAACAAGGAGGCCTGCAGCACAGGTCTTGTCCCCCGAGTCAGGAGCCTGTAGCTAAGAATGGGAAGGACTATTGCAGTTCCACACTCAGAAGATGTATTGTGAAGGCTCAACTCTGAAGCTGTGCTTGCTTCCCTCCTGAAAATAAACTGAGATGTGCAGTCACCAGGATTAAAACCATTGAATCAGAGTCTGCCAACCACCCCTCCAAGGAGAGGACCAACAAACTGCCTTCAACCCTGATCTGAACATGTGTGGGTTCAAGGCAATTCGGAGTTTGAACTGCCTTCGACCCTGATCTGAACATGTGTGGGTTCAAGACAATTCGGAGTTTGGGTGTAAAGTTTTAACATCTCAGTCTACCCAAACTCGCATGTTCCTGGTGGTTTCAGAAAGAAAATAAAAAGAATGACACAGAGAAATAAAGATGAGCATTTGTATAGTGCTGTTCATAACCTCAGCATGTCCCAAGGCACTTTACAGCCTTGTCAATGTGGGAAACATGGCCACCAATTTGCACATAGTAAGCTCCGACAAAAAGCAACCTGATAACAAACAGACCCTCTGTTCTTTATGGATATTGATT